GTCAACTGTCCAGGGGAGCTGAAGAATTCAGCAGAAGAAACTCAGTTTAAGGAAACTGATATTAGACTTTATTTTCCATTAAGCATAGGGTCTGTGTGCTATTGAAATAATTGTTTGAAAACACCATAGGTCTCTAAGTGGCAGCAGCCATTAGTACCTTAAGCATAGCCTTGTTATAATCTTGTTAATAATGTTCCTTGAGTGAGTTATGCACATATCGACCCTTATCAAAGACAACAGGACATAAATCCCTGCTTCCCAAAATTGCTTATGAGGCTAAGAGCTGATTAAAAAAAAACCCAAAAACCAAGAAAATCTTTTTTATCACTTAATTGCGTATCACAATACAATGATCCATATAACTCGCCAAACACACAGGCATTGTCTAGGGGGCTTTGCTCTTTTGAGTGTTATAGCATTTCCAGGACACATTAATAAAGAACATTAGAAGCATGAGGTTTAAAGATTTTATAATTATTTTAGCAGAACTTCATCAATTACAGCACATTTTGAAATAGCAACTAAATTTTTTAATCCTGAGCACACCTTCAGTCTGGGAGAAAATCTCTCAAAAAACTCTTCAAATCATATGAGTGTTGACTATATTTCTTACTGGGCTGGACACAGTATATGCTAAAATAAATCTCTAAAGCTATAAGACATGACCTTATTTTTTCATATATTTATTCATATATGTTGTACAGCAAGAGATTCAGGCTGCAAAAGGCAGAAGCAAAGAGGGAGCTGAGTTTTAAGCACAACTCTCAGGGGACTTCTCAGTGTAACAGCCCCGTGCTGCCAGGGGTGCGTATGGACATGCCCTAAGGTATCCCTGGGTACCCTCCCAAGAAAGCAAAGCAGCAAAATGTGTAGCAAAGCAGCAAAATGTGTAGTAGTTCTGATATACTGTGCTTACAATATATAAAAACGTTCTTCTGCAGAGCAAAAATTGAGGATTATAGTTTTAAACAACCACTCCAGGGCTAGACTGAATGCTTAAACTCATCTGACAAAAAGAAAAGGAAGAAGGGCTCTGCACTTCTGAATTTGGCCATTAGGTGCATACTGGATCCTGAAACTCCTATTAAGCTTCTAAAACCTGTTGTTTTGACCAGGTAAACTATTATAACAACTACTTTAGCAGCTTTAAAAAAAACTGGCTCACAAATTTTATAAAGAGAAGGGTAATTTCAGAGAGATATCCAATTCCGTTATTTCTGAGTTAAACATCTACTTCAGACAGAATAAAATTCTTACTGTGTGAAAAGTGAAACCTCACAGTGTACACACAAAAAACATTCAGCAGAAATTACTTGTGTGCAAACATAATCTTTCATTAAATTAGCTTGCAGGAAACTAGCAAGAATATAGCTTCTCAATTATCTACTTTTACATTTTAAAACACTAAAGCTGTTGCTGGTAAAGCCTTATTGAGGATGTCAATTTTATCATCTTTTTCTGATGGTCCTAGAAAAAGACCAACTGTATATAACAGAGAAAAGTTACACAGCAATCAGAACTCGGCTCTCAAGAAAGCCAGACCATACATATTTTTACTCTACATAAACATGAAAAAGCAAGTATTTCAGAACAAGGAATGGCTTCATCTACAAAGGGTGCTATGTATTTTTACACATGCTAACTGAAACAAGTTTGAATAAATGGCAATCACACACCTGGAACGAGATATTGCTCAGTATTTCCTAAGTAATTATTTTGTTCTGAAAAGAATGAATTTTAGAAGATACTTATTTTAAGAACAACAAAAGAAAAAACTGAGAAAAGGCAGTTCTTTGTATGTGCCTGACATGAAGAATTCAAGATATTTGCTAGGCATTAAAGACTGATGCTAAAATGAGCTTTGTCTGTGGCACAGTATCTGAAAGACCTGCAGGTTCTGTAGTCAGAGTCTCTGTAAAGCGTTTCAGTAACACTAGATTAAAGAGAGCAGGATCAAATCTGCCTGGACAGGAGAAGTATATAATGGGCAGTTTTTGAAATCTGCTGTTGAATGGTTTCATCTGAACAATGACAAGCGCAACTAGATGGTAATTCATACTTGTTTAGGAATTAAAGAATACAGCTCAGCTAATTCTCCCCTGTTATCAGCAGAGTATCTCCTGCTTTTCCATTCTTTCTGCAGGAGGAGTTTGAAAGCTCTGCCTCCTCTGCTGCTGAATTAAGGCCTCATTGAATAAAAGATAAAACTCAGCACCTGGAAGTGGAAGGGAAAGTAAATCCTTGTTTCCACTTCTATAAAAGTGCTGCATTTTCATCTGGGAATGAAGAACCACAAGCTTTTAAATGTCTTCCAGGATGCTCTAAATGACACTAGATTGGCAAATATATATTGAGGTAACATTTTCAGGGGAACAGTTACTGGTTTTAAGGTTACTATAGCTACTTCATCAAAACATCACTTTCTGCTTTAGTGAGTGAAATGCAAGCATGGAAGAATGAACACTTTCTGATTTTCTGATTAATTTTTCTTCATACTATGAGATATCCCATCCTAAAAAGATGAAGTACTGTCGAATCTTTGTAGCAAGTCCTGTTTCAGCCACTGTAGTCAATGAGATTTTCACATCTGTTTTAATTACTACTTACCAACTTACCCTTAAGTTGTTTTCTTCTATTTTAGAAAGGTTCTCAGAGAAAAATCGTTTAATCAACAAAGAAATAATCCTGGAAGCCACTAATTCCAATCACTCATACCATGATCCTGCATTACCAACGCTTTCACAAAGCCATTGTGAAATCTCCTTTTCACACTTCCTAAAAATAATCTACAAAACAGCAAACAACATGTGCCCCTGCCCTGCCCTCAAATCCTTTGGCCATGTAAATCAAACAAAACACAACTAGAGCAAAGCTAATACACACCTCCAGTAGAAATAACTGTATTCCCAACTAATGTTAGATTTCAAAAATTAAAAGCCCTCCCCTAGACTACAACACTTGTGAAATAGGAAGCTGAGGTGGAAATTAAAAGCACAGAGCAAGAAATCTGCAGTGAGCTTGTTGCAGCGTACAAATAGTTAGATGGGAGAAGGAAAACCTTCACTGTCAAATGGAAAACATGGAAAGACCATAACTTTAATACAAACTTTCACTTGTCCTTTCGCCTGCACTTGTATTCTCAAATATATATACAGGGTATGCTTGGAAGCAACAAAAGAGTGGAGGTACAAAAATCATCCATCAAACAATTGTACTACTTTAATAATATATTAAAGGTCCTAAAACAAAGATCAAAAGCAAATATATTTAAGCATTTATATTCCATTCCACATTGTGTGATGACTAATTTGTAAAGAGTGCAGAAGTCCTCACAACTGCAGCCAAAATAATTTGAGAATACTTTGATATAATGCCACAAAGGATATGAGCAGGAAGACAGCAGGAGTTACAAATGACCAAGTTCCATTAAAAGTGCTAATAAAAGAATAATGGAATTTCCTTGTACTATGAATAAAAAGTGTTTTGTACAGGAGAATTAAGACATGGACAGGAATATCAAAGTTTCTTGTTCACCAGTTGCATCTCCTTATTAGATCTTAATTGACTTACTATTACATTTACTTTAAAATGCTTCAATTCAAAGGAGCAACAATTCCATTCAAAATCTTATCACACTAGTTTCCTTTATTCTTCATGTTTCTCCATTAAGGCCATTTTCACAGGCCATTAATATCAGCTTCACCAATCTTTGTAAATAATGTGAGACTATTTATAAAAGAAGTACTAAGCAGAGATGAATTTAACTTGAAATTAGGTACAATTATTAAAGCCATGGAATACAACTGCTGTTTTACAATGTATTTTTAAACTAAATTTTCAAGTGGCCGGTAACTACAGAACTCCCCCAACAACAACCTGCCTGATAAATTTCATCCATTCATTTACACACTGTGTTTCTCATTGACATATGTGTAGTTACCCATATATTGCACATATGTGCATGTATTCCTACAAAGAGATACAGACTTCTGCCACCTTCTCCCAAATATAAAACCTAGCTGGTTTTTCCAATGTATTTGGTAAATGGCCAGGAAAAGCAGAGATAGAGTTCAGAACTTTCCTTTGCAATGTCTAAACAACAACAACAACAACAACAACAGAAATGTTCCAAATCTTTCTTTGTTTTAATGGATACTTGCAAAATCACTCACACTTCTCAAAACAGAAGCAGCAATGACAGACATCTCATACTGCTGACAAATTTTTAAAGGGTTTTGTGCACTTGTTAAAAGAATATGCCCACAGAGGCATCAGAGATATGAGGAACATTATGAAAATATTTTAAAACCTACTCAACATTCCTTCAGTCTGCTGCTTAATGCTCTCTTCTGCATAACATCCAGAAGAATTCCATGACATAGCTATAGCACAGAAATACTGTGATCTCTGTCTCTTGGTTCTCTAAAATCTTCTTGTAACAATTTTTTTTTTTTTTAATTTCACATTGCAATGAGAAAGGACCCTCTTTTTTCCCCCAGATATTACAAACAAGTTATAATGATGTGTGTTTCTACTTCTTCCCCCAGACAACCACCAGGCTGTTCACACAGCAGCCTCTTTGAACGATGCTTTTGTGATCAATAGATAATTCATTAGTATCATGTATCTCAGGGTCTAATTGACACAACAGGCTAAGCAACATACTCAAGGGTAACACAGTTCCCAAACACAGAGGAAATAAAGGAGGGGAATCCAATACCACATGTGGTCACTTTGCAGGATGTAATGCCAGTCTATAAATCATATTTCTATGAGGTTAATGTGAGTAATTGGTTTCACAAATCAGAAAATGCACCTTTTCAAGCTTGGCTTAAAGAAAAAAAAAGAAACATTTATGGGACAGCAGAATTTAAGTAACATGCTTAGCACTTTCAATTTTATCATTTCTCCTCAATTTTGCTTTAAATAAGAAATATAGTTACCACAAATGTTTGGAATTTTTCTTAACAACAAACTGAGATAGTACATTTTTTCCTTACCTTATGATCATATGGGTTGTATGAATGAAACAGCTGGGACAGATCCTTCGTTCTCTGTTTTTTCTGTAAAGGATTATTAATAAATAAGACATATTAGAAAAGTTAAAGGAGAAATAGAGAAGCTACTGATTAAAAAGCTGTATGCAGGTACAAACACATTCTCTCCCCACTTTGTTAATGAAACTGTAGTTATACAGAGCAGTGTATGCAGATTAAGGATATTAAATATTACAGGAAATCATTAACATATATATTAACAATATTAAGGAAAATATCCTTAATAAATAATAAACACTAATCTATGGAACCTCAGTGGAATGTGTAAACAATTCACAATATATCATAGAAAATATTTTAGAATACAGATAACAAAACTGAGAGATCAGGCTACAATCTTGTAAAGACTTGTCTACTATTCTAGCATGTACATGCAGTACTGCCTTATAGAAGATCAGGTGTAAAGGAAATCAGTTTGAAGAAGAATCATTTATTATTTGTCGATTTCTTTTGATGCTAATACTCTCACTGCTTTGATTGTGGAAAATTAATAGGTGATATCTCATTTAATGCCAAGGCAAAGGACAAAAAAAATTCTTCTATTCAGAGCATAGTTCAAAGACAAAACCTGCTTGATCCAACTCCTGAATTTAGTCAAATAGCTTTCAGTAATTTCAGCTGATGTTAAATAGAATTTCTCAGCTGTATCCTATGGAAGGTGGACAGGAAGAGGAGAAAAACATTCTTTGTTTTTAATGCAGGGATGAGTCACAAATCAGTTCAAAGTTTTATTGTGTCAAAATCGGTGTTTACTTATCTCATATCTGGGGAAGGCAAATCACTGCATGTTGGAAAATGTGTAAAGGGGTGACAACTGCAAGAACTCCTTGCTTGTAGTCTGTACCAGTGTCCCATTTAGCCATTGTTTCTGTGAAAGTTGTTTTACACCTAAGCTGGAAAGATCTGTTTATGTTTCCAGCATGCTGGGAGCTACATAGACAGCTGCAGAAATGCCTGCAGAATTTATTTTAACTTCTGGGAACTATAAGGCAATTTAGTAACTTTTGATCATGCAACATAAACTATGTACTTTCTTTCTTTATATAGTTTTTATTTTCACTGAATGCTAAGCAACTTACAATGACTTCCTTTCTGCTAGTACAGCTGTACACAGTCAAAGTACTTAAAACACTATAAAAATTATTTGGAAAACTGTGATAAATTAAAAAAAATACTAAAATGATTACTGAAAAGAGTGCTTGAAAAAACCTAATTTAAAGTAGCATCATGCAAGAAGAAGACAAAAGCACTTGAGTTTGGGTTATGGAAACCCCACTAATCTTTCTAGGAAGAAAACCCTACAAAACGCAGAAGAAGTCCAAGTCTTGCTCATTGTTACTGAAGACTGTTTCTCTTGTATTCCTTTTGACTGCAATTACTTTAATAACACTCAGTAAAATGATATGATGGAAAACCACCCATCTTTCACCCTCAGACTCTCACCAAAATGCTGGTTACACATTCAGCTAGACAAAGAGTGAAGATGGCTTCCCTCACACAAGACACTGACACAGTCTTCAACTTTTTGTTATTATAGAAAATTATGGTTTCTTTCCTACCTTTCCACAAAAGTTTTATTATTTGTACAAAACCAAAACTCTCCAGACTGGGGAAATGCTGGAAATTCCTAACAGAGAAAAATGTGCAATGAAACTTCAAGATGCAGATGAAGAAATGCCACAAAATTCCCAGGGTATCCCATAGGTTAAGGTGAACTAAATCTAAACAGCATTTTATTGTTTTGTAGGGAATCTGAATATATACAGATAAAAATGTCATAAGCACAGAGTTAAGGTTGCTTAGTAATAACTTCTGTCTTTCTACAGCAAAAAGTGAACTTTAACTCAGATCTCTAAAACTTAAAAATATTTTGTATTTGAAAACACACACAGGACAAGGAACTCATGCTGCTCCAATGGTAATCCCTTCAACTCCTACAGCTGGCATGAGTCACATGGTGTGAATAATAAGTTTTTGAAATAAAGCAGCAGCATGGTTCACAGCTCACCTCTGCAGTACAGGGCAGAAGGTAGAGCAGGCCTCTCCATGGCTAGAGGCTGCAGTGCAAAGTAAGGAGTCCAAAAGCTCCTTCTCCTTCATCACCTCCAGTGGACTATTTCAGACCCTAAATAACCTATTTAAAAACATTTATTCAGAATTTCTTCCCTTAACATAGCTTCATATCCCTATTTATGTTCCCTCAGCCTAGTCCAACATCCCTTTAAAGTACCCTTTGACCGCTAAAAAAATTTCTATTTCCCTGCTCTTTTTCTTCAATGTTCTGATTCTCCAGTCCTTTGTTCTGTACCAATAATGTTGCCAAAAGCACATCATAAAAAGCCACTCAAAACCCCTCTCTGAACTTAGGCAACTGTACTATCTTATCATATTGCTCCACGTGCAGCAGCACTATTGCTTTCAAACATGCTCACAGACCTACAGAAGATATATATTAATTATTTCTGAAAAAAAATTATATTTTCTTTCCAAATTAGCATGAAAAGACCTTCCAGGAGTCTCATAGCAACATCAGGCTCATAGCTTATTCCTGCACTCCTCTCAGGCTTGCCATGCAGTGATAGATAGTCCTTAGTTTAAGTGCTTAAGCAGCACTTAAAGGAACAAGTTCAGGGAGAGGAGACAGAGAGAGAAATTCAGATCCTATACTGATGTGAGACACTTAAAAATATATATGTATATGACTGTAAAAACAAATTTTCAGTTTTCTGTGTTAAAAAGTTGCAAAAATGCCACATTATATAGTAGATGAAAAGGAGACACTTTTTATATCTTTATCAGGAAAATTATGTGAACATCTGCTGAAAATGAATTAAACTGCTGCCGCAGGACTGAGTTAAATACTGTAAAATGATATATGCTTGTACACATAAGTATGCTAGGATGGAAGGTTTTCCTTAAATAAATCAATATTTTTTCTAAGCGAGTTATTTCAAGCTTGTTACTAAAATGTACCTAAGTAATTAACTTCTTCTGAAAAGACAGGTAGTGTCTAAGATATTTATACAAATAAGAACCAGAAACCAACATCAACTAATGACATTTCTGAGGACAGAACACACAGACAATGTTAGTAGAGAGGAAACAACACATTACCACAATTTCATTATTTCCCCCATCCTGCAAGCAGATATGCAATTCAAGTAACACACACTTTGCTCTGTTTATTTCCTTTCTCTCTCTCATTTTGCTGGGCCTCAAATTTTTGATTACTGGAATTTATTAAGGGGATGCTGGTCATCCAATATGCATATTATATGTTTAAGGTATAGTAACAATAAAGGTTCCTTTGACAACAATCTGGGGCTATACACCAATAAAGCTGAGTTAGTGACCTTGGTGTTTTTACTCTTTTTCTAGTGCACTGCTTTTTAGCAATAATAAAACTTTTTCTAATGTCTTGCATGGACTATACTGTGGATTATTATTCTTCTTTTGCAGAATAATGTAGAAGGGATGAAATACTACCCAAAGAACAAGAGAATGTAAAAAAAAAATCAACCAACCAACAAAAAAACTCCAACAAACCCTGTAGTACAGAAGGAATTTAAAACCATTTAAAATATTTTCTGCACAAGTAAGCCAGCATAGAATTTTGTGCTGACTATCATAGAATTTTTCTTTTTTTTTTTTGCAAATAATGGTGTGAAAATAGGGTAAAAGTAGGGGTATCCTAATAATAAATTTTTATAATCAAATATACTTTAGAAAAATAATTTTACAAATGGAATAGTTTTAACAAATGCTAAACACTGTAGGCTCACACATGTATATTGCACTTATCTTGTGATCCTCTTTTCATATTCAGGTGATAATTACCTGTCTTTCAGATGATTTTAATGTAGCCCAAAACTTGTTTGTTTTCTTTTCAAGCATGGTGTCATAGGTCTGCAATGTTTATTGTGAAGGAGAACTACAATATCACTGAGGTATTTATTTTATAGATTACTTGGAAGCTACTTAAATTGAATATTCTCAGGTTTTCATCTAGGAATAAAAGGGACAAAATTACTCCCAATATGAAGGTATTACTGCTTTCCTTTAGACTGAACTTTCATTTTCTAAAACCTATTTTCACCTCCAAAGTTCTTAATAATTCCAGCCTTATACTGTGACAGATCTGCAGATTCCAGCATTTCCACAGAAAGTCTCAGCATTGGTATATTGCCAGCAAAGTTCTCTTGTCTTTGTTTTCTTGCTCACATGATTTAAAATCATTCCAATACACAGGGTTGCCTTCAGTAACAAGAACATGTATCTATTTCTGTTCAAATACTCTTCATGAGTACAGTGAATAACAACATGTGTCAAGGCAATCAGATAAATGTCTTTATTTCAGTTCTGTTCCCTCACTAACCAATCATCTCCCCCATTTCTCTTTTACATACTGCTGATCAGAATTAAAAAAAAACAATTTTATTTTACCACAGGAACTTTATTTAATTTAGAGTTTATAAAGCATCCCACCCCTATCCTTGAGCATGCTAAAAACCAATAGCAATATTCAGTTTTTCTTTCAAACAAGTCTGGAAAACCACTTTAGCTCCTTCTGTAGTATCTAATGAATTACCTAATTTAAAGTCATATTAAACTTAGTGAATCAGGGAAAAATATAACTACAATTTTGATACACTTTGGGAGAAAAATGAAGCAGCTTTTCAAGCCTTTTCACAGTTTCTGTCCCCAGTATAACTGAAAGCATAGAAGCTCCAGAAAAACAGACACCCACAAAACCATGAGATTGGATCTTTCTTTTCTGAACCAGCACTTTCTAACATGTTTTGTGCTATGGCATTCTCTGACTTCAGTAACATCCATTTTCTGATCAGTAGAAGAGCTGTGTCTTTCTTTTCCCTTATGTTACATCTGTGATCTCAAAACTACAAAGGCCTGGGGTAGTTCCAAACTCAGAACTTTTATAAATTAGAAGGTAGCACCCTACCCAAAGACACCCCCTGGACTAACTTTAATCTCCACAGAATTACTTG